GAGGTTCCCGAGTGGAAGTAGGAAGAGATTACTATGGATTTTATCACCAAATTGTCGAGGACTGCGAGGGGCGTTGATGCAATTTGGGTGATTATAGACAGGTTGACGAAGAGCGCTCACTTCCTTGCTATTAGCGAGAGCTCTTCTACAGAGAGGCTGGCAGAGTTGTATGTGAGAGAGGTGGTATCGCGGCATGGAGTACCAATCTCGATTGTCTCAGATCGAGATGTGCGTTTCACTTCCAGATTCTAGAAGAAATTTCATGAGGAGTTGGGTACAAGGCTGCATTTTAGTACCGCATATCACCCACAGACTGATGGGTAGAGCGAGCGGATAATTCAGATGCTCGAGGACATGCTTCGAGCATGTGTGTTGGATTTTGGCGGGATTTGGGACACATATTTTCCCTTGGCAGAGTTTTCCTACAACAACAGCCATCATTTGATCATTGGTATGCCACCCTTTGAGTTGTTGTATGGGAGGAGGTTTCGGACCCCCATTTGCTGCGGAGAGGTAGGGCAACGTGTGATGGGTAGTATAAAGATTGTGCTTCAGACGACTGAGTAGATACAACAGGTTAGACAGAGGTTGTTGACCGCTCAGAGTCATCAGAAGAGTTATGCGGATAGGAGCCGGTCCGAGCTCGAGTTCGAGGTTGGCGACTTTGTGCTCCTGAAGGTCTCTCCTTGGAAAGGAGTGATCCGATTCAGGAAGAGGGGCAAGTTGGGGCCTCGATATATTAGACCTTTTAGGGTGATCGCGAGAGTAGGCATGGTAGCCTACCGTTTGGAGCTACCTGCGTAGTTAGGATAGATTCACGACACTTTCCACGTGTCGCAGTTGAGAAAGTGTATAGCCGACGAGTCGGCAGTGGTACCATTAGAGGATATTTAGGTGGATGTGGGTGTGAACTATGTTGAGAGACCGGTGGCAATTAGAGATCGGAAGATCAAGGTTCTGAGGAACAAGGAAGTGCCTCTGGTGCAGGTACAGTGGCAGCATAGGAAAGGGTCAGAGCTGACTTGGGAGCCGGAGCGCAAGATGCGTGAGCAGCATCCGGAGTTTTTTGCAGAGTGAGACTTCGAGGGCGAAGTCTGATTCTAGTGGGGGAGAATTGTAACATCCGGATTCCCATGTATATTATTTTTTTATTCAGTTATTTTGGGATTTGCTGAGGGACTCGGCGAGTTGGCGCTTAGACTCGCCGAGTAAGGTCGCGGATTCTCATCCGGGTTGATGATCGGACTCGGTGAGTCCACGCTGTTTAATGAAACCCTAATTTCCCGGGTTTGGCACCTATTTAAAGGACCTTAGGGCCGTCATTTACGGCTACCAAACCCTAGAGAGAGACCCTAAGAGATCTAGAGCGTTTGTGAGGGAGGAGAGGCAACTTTTGATCATTTTGTTGGTGTGATTGCAAAGATGAGGTAACCAAGGAAAGAGGAGGCTGAAGGAGGAGCAAATCTAGTGATTTCAGAGTTCAAAGACTTCATCTTGAGGTATTTATTCAGACCTTCTTCAGTTTTGGTGTTGATTCTTATTGTTAGGGTTTTCTAACCCCTTTAGAGAATGGATATGTGGAGCAATTTGGCCCCTTCTCGAGTTTATGCTTTGGATCTGGACTCAAAGAGGTCCAGAAACCTTAACCCTTGGAGCTTTATGGGTTATTTTGGGAGCCATGAACTTAGGAGTTGGTTTTTGGGGCTAAATCACCAAGTAGGATCATCTAGATGTTATATGAGTGTCAAGGTCTGAACTTTACGTGATTATCATGCTTGGGGAGGTCAGATCTATGGGTTTAAGGAACAGATCTGACCTCAGGAGGTCAATGGAGTGTTTGCATGGCATGAACTCGCCGAGTCCAAAGATCAGACTCGGCGAGTAAGGTTAGGGTTTCCCATAAATCACTCACTGAGTAGACTCACCGAGTTGGGGGAATAACTCAGTGAGTCAGAGAGGGATTAGAGGACTGGAGTTCAAGACGGAACTCGCCGAGTTGATCTTGAGACTCAGCGAGTTGAGTCGGGGTAGCCCCACGATTCATGCTAGGTGTGACTCGTCGAGCAATGGGAGGGACTCGACATGCCAAGCGAGACTAGGAGTTAGTGGATACGTGTAGGGCTGTAAACGAACTGAACGTTCGGCGAACCGTTCATGAACTGTTCGGCGGGAAGTTCGTTTATGTTCGTTTATTTAATAAATGAACGAGCATGAACAAAAATTATCGTTCGTTTAGTTAAATGAACGAACATGAACAATGGTCTCGTTCTTTCAGTTATGTTCGTGAACGTTCGTTTATGATGTTCATTTACGTTCGTTTATGTTCGTTCGTTTAAGTTTATTTATATTCATCTATATTCAATTATTGTTTATTATATTACTATATTATATGTTCGTTTATGTTAATATATGTTCAATTGTGTTTTTTTTTATCTTTGTTCGTTTATGTTTGTTCGTTTATGTTCGTTTACCATGTTCACGAACATAAATGAACGAACATGAACAAAGTAATTTGTTAAACGAACGAACATGAACAAGAAAATCTCGTTCGTTTATCCGTTCGTGTTCGTTTGTTGTTCGGCTAACTTAAACGAACGAACATGAACAAGACCTTGTTCGTGTTTGTTTGGTTCGTTTACAACCCTAGATACGTGTGGACTCGTCGAGTTGCCTAAGTGCACTCGACGAGTCGGGTCAAAGTTTAACCATTGACTTTGGTTGACTTTTAGGGTTTGATCAACAATGAGGGCCTTTGAGCCAAAGGACGGGTAAAATGGTCTTTTACCCTTCTGAGGCTGCTTAGAGAGGGTTGAGTCTAGTCATGAGAGTTGTATTTATGAGAGTATTACTTTATGTGATTAGGTGGAGGCTAGATCGTATTTCTACCGAGTCAGAGATTTACTGAGACATCTGAGGTGAGTCTTCTCACTATACTTTACCTTGAGTGGTAATTAGAGTTATGTGACAGAGTTATTGTATGCTATTATGTGATGTGTTGCACTGCATTATTTCTATGTGGTTTATGTCATGTGTATATCAGAGTATATCAGAGTTAGAACCGGAAGGTTCACAGAGCTAGGACCAGAGGGTCCACAGAGTTAGGGCCCACGGGCCCACAGAGTTA